AGGGGGGGATAGCAAAGGGGGGGTTTGAGAATCAGCTCACGTAGCTGATTTTCCCGGCGCCTCCCGGCGCCGGGAGGCGCCCATGTATGGAGGAATGTGCCCCTCGGTGAGGCCGAAACCAGCTGCATGCAGCAAATTTCGTAACCCCCCCTTTCCCAATCCCCCCCTTTCGTCCGGCCCGATTCACGCGTCCACCAGGCTCTTCGCGAACTTGCACTTCGGCACGCGCACGGTGCCTTCTACAGCCGGAGTGTGGCTCCTCCTCTGGCGGCCTCCCGCCCCGCGCGGCCCTGCTCCCTGTGCCTAACGCTGTGCCCTGGCACGCCCCGCCGCTGCTTGACCGTTGTCTAATCTTCTTGGGGCCGCTGACTAAATAGTTACATAAATATGTATATCTGTAGATATGTGTGTATATATATATATATATATATATACACATGTGTGTGTGTGTGTGTGTGCGTGTTTGCCCCGCCGCAGCCGCCGCCTGGCGCTGCCCGTTTGGCGGCGCTGCCCTGGCCCTGCCGCTGCCGCCCCGCCGCCGGCAGGCCCCGCGCCCGTGGCCGAGCGCCCGCCTCGTCCCGCCATTGCCCCGCGAGGGCCCGGCGGACTGGCTTCGTGACCTAGCCGGTGCGCGCGCGCCCGTGGTCACTTTCGAACGGCTTTAGGTTTGGTTCGGCCCGCGACGCTCAAGAAGAGTGCGTCTGTGTGTGTGAGACACTTTTGGCCAGCGCAGTCACTCTGCCTAGCCGCTGGCGCAAAAGTGTGTGTGTGTGTCTTTGTGTGTTTCTTTGGGTGTTTGTTATCTTCTTTGCTTTTGTGCCTCAGTCCTCATGGCTGTGCCTGGCCACTCTGGCATTTGCATGGCCGCAGCAGCGTTTTCCACGCGCGTGCGCGTGCTCGCGTTTCTGCAAGTGTCTCACTGCCCCGTGAGGGGCCGGCGCTCCCGCCTTGCACTTGATGGCATTCCAGGGGCGATCTTTGGTTAGCTGCATTTCGTTCGGCTTATAGGCTCTTTGAGCGCTGAAGCGGCTGTCGCCCCATCCGCATGTGTGTGTGTGTGTGCCTGCCTGCTCTGCCCTCTTCCCACTCTTGCATGCTGGCCAATTCGCTTTTCGGTGCCCCCGTCTAGCTCCCATGGCTGGTGCAGCCACCTCTGCCTCGCCGCCGATGTGTGTGTGTGTGTGTTCAGGGTAGGCCACGCGCATCCCAGAACAGACATACCGTGGAGAGAGGGCTTCAGGGCCCATCTCGGGACGCACAGTGGTTGGATTTTGGCGAAGGCCGTGGTTCGAATTGTGGCCGCTGCGACACCTCACCGGGGGTATATCGTCCTGGCCGTTCCAGTGTGTGCGTGTGCGCGCTTGAGAGCTGGCTTGCGCCCGCGCCCGCTTCCCATCTTTCGCTGACTATGCTACGCAGCTGCACGCGTGTCCGCGACGCCAAACAACAACAACAACAAGTGTGTGTGTGTGTGTGTGTGTGTGTGTGCGTGCGTGTTTGCCCCGCCGCAGCCGCCGCCTGGCGCTGCCCGTTTGGCGGCGCTGCCCTGGCCCTGCCGCTGCCGCCCCGCCGCCGGCAGGCCCCGCGCCCGTGGCCGAGCGCCCGCCTCGTCCCGCCATTGCCCCGCGAGGGCCCGGCGGACTGGCTTCGTGACCTAGCCGGTGCGCGCGCGCCCGTGGTCACTTTCGAACGGCTTTAGGTTTGGTTCGGTCCGCGACGCTCAAGAAGAGTGCGTCTGTGTGTGTGAGACACTTTTGGCCAGCGCAGTCACTCTGCCTAGCCGCTGGCGCAAAAGTGTGTGTGTGTGTCTTTGTGTGTTTCTTTGGGTGTTTGTTATCTTCTTTGCTTTTGTGCCTCAGTCCTCATGGCTGTGCCTGGCCACTCTGGCATTTGCATGGCCGCAGCAGCGTTTTCCACGCGCGTGCGCGTGCTCGCGTTTCTGCAAGTGTCTCACTGCCCCGTGAGGGGCCGGCGCTCCCGCCTTGCACTTGATGGCATTCCAGGGGCGATCTTTGGTTAGCTGCATTTCGTTCGGCTTATAGGCTCTTTGAGCGCTGAAGCGGCTGTCGCCCCATCCGCATGTGTGTGTGTGTGTGCCTGCCTGCTCTGCCCTCTTCCCACTCTTGCATGCTGGCCAATTCGCTTTTCGGTGCCCCCGTCTAGCTCCCATGGCTGGTGCAGCCACCTCTGCCTCGCCGCCGATGTGTGTGTGTGTGTGTGTGTTCAGGGTAGGCCACGCGCATCCCAGAACAGACATACCGTGGAGAGAGGGCTTCAGGGCCCATCTCGGGACGCACAGTGGTTGGATTTTGGCGAAGGCCGTGGTTCGAATTGTGGCCGCTGCGACACCTCACCGGGGGTATATCGTCCTGGCCGTTCCAGTGTGTGCGTGTGCGCGCTTGAGAGCTGGCTTGCGCCCGCGCCCGCTTCCCATCTTTCGCTGACTATGCTACGCAGCTGCACGCGTGTCCGCGACGCCAAACAACAACAACAAGTGTGTGTGTGTGTGTGTGTGCGTGCGTGTGTTAGTCTGGAGTCACACTCGACTGCAAAAAGGGACGCAGTTCAGTTGAAGTCGGAATAGTCAGAACATCGGTTGCAGTGCTCTGATGTGTTTCCGGGCAAGGGCTCAGGCCCAGGGCTCTCTTTTAGTGTGCGAGCTTCTGGCCCCGTGCTGGAAAGGTGTCGGGCAGATGGCGCCGGAATCAGGCACATAAAAGTACGTGTGCGGAGAGGGGCGTCTCCAGCATGCGTCTCGTCGCGCATGCGTTTGGCACGTGTTGTCACGTGCTCTGGCGACAACGGGGCCCCCACTGGGGTATCCAAGTTACGCGCGTCGGATTCTTCACGCGTAGAGGTACGTGCGCGGAGAGGGGGGGGGTGCGCGCGGGGCACGTGTTTTCACGTGGCCACTGAGGCGTCGGCTATCCAACATGGTGTGGGGGGCGTTTCGCCCGCGACGTCCTCACAGCATGGGGCTGTCGAGTGAGTTGGTTTGCGGCGCTGGTTATCATACGCCAGACTCTCCGGTCAGGCATCTTCAGAATAATGACGTGTTGTAGATTGGGCATCGGATATTCAGCATGGTGTGGGGGGAGCGTTCCGCCTGAGTCATCCTAACACATGGGGATGTCGGAGGAGTTGTTTTACTACGTTGGTTCTCAAAAGCGAAGCTGTCGCCCGAGACATCTTCAGGCAATTGTGATGTTGGAGGTCGGGCGTCGGATATCCAACATGGTGTGTGTGGGCGTTCCGCCTGAGGCATCCTCACAGCATGGGGATGCTAAATGAGTTGTTTCACGACTTTGGTCTTCAAAAGCAGAGAGATCCTCAGAAACCCAACATGTTGGTGGTTGGACGTCGCTATCCAACATGGTGTGTGTGTGTGCGTGTGCGTGCGTGCGTGTGTGTGTGAGTGTGTGTTTGTGTGGGCGTGGGCGTTTTGCCTGAGACACCCTCACAACACGGGGATGTTGAGTGATTTGCTTAACGATGCGTCAGGCATCTTCAGAATAATGATGTGTTGTAGATCGGGCATCGGATATCCAGCATGGTGTGGGGGGTGTTTCGACTGAGACATCCTCGTGCAATGGGGATGCTGGAGGAGTTGGTTTACGATGTTGGTTCTCCAAATGATCTCCAACATGAAAGTTTTCGCGTGATACATCCTCAGACAATTGATATGTTGAGCTCGGGCGTCGGATATCGAACTTGGTGTGGCCGGGCGTTTCGCTGCAGACATTCAGAAAGCAGGAGATGTTCAGTGAGTTCCAGAATGCGACGCACCTTCAAGAGCTTGGCTCTCGTTTAGGACATCCTCACACGTGGAGGCGTCAGAAGTCTGACAGCAGGTGAGTTAACTTACTCTCCTTACCGGCTTTGTGGGCCCCTCAAGTTGAAGCTGAATAAGACTTCGAGGATCATCTATAGTCCTCTCAGGGGAACGGCTAAGGAGGAGGATCGGGCCCTAACCTTTCACTTTTAAGCAAAATTCGAGACGGAGGTTTCTCATGAGTTTCGGCATCATGGGTTGTTTCCGTGGCCCGTGCGCCAGCAGCGAGACTCAGGATGAGAAGTGGGCCCTGGGGAAGGTGTCAAGAGTTCATTGGCTCCATATCATAACATTTCATGGCATCGGATGGAAGGAAGGAAGGATGGATGTATGGATGGATGGTGGTGATGATCATGGTGATGATGATCATGTTGTTGTTGATGATAGTGCTGCTGCTAATGATGATGATTATGATGATGATTCTTATGCTGATGGTGATGATGATGGTGATGATGGCGATGCTGATGCTGATGCTGCTGCTGCTGATTATGATGATGATGATGATGATGATGATGATGATGATGATGATGATGCTGATGATGATGACGATGATGATGACGATGCTGATGATGATGATGATGATGATGATGATGATGATGATGATGATGATGATGATGATGATGATGAGGCTGATGATAAGGAGGATGAGGAGGAGGAGGAGGAGGAGGAGGAGGAGGATCAGGAGGAGGAGGAGGAGGAGGAGAGGGAAGGAGGAGGAGGGGGAGGAGGAGGAGAGGAGGGAGGAGGGAGGAGGAGGTGGAGGAGGAGGAGGAGGAGGAGGAGGAGGAGGAGGAGGAGGAGGAACGGGAGGAGGATGGGGTGGGGGAGGGGGAGGGGGAGAGAGAGGAGGAGCAGCAACAGGAGGAGCAGCAGGAGCAGTACCAGCAGGAGGAGAAGGAGGAGAACGCAGACGTTGACGTGCTCGCCAGCATCGAATTGGAGAATGTGCACGGCTGCGCCTACCGCTCCAGCTGCGCCTTCTGCTGTCGCACGCGACTGCCTGAGCTTTCTGCTCTAGTGGCCGGGCGGCACGGTTGCATGGCAGCGCGCTGATGGTCGGCGCTGGGCATTGGTAGTGCGCGGTCGTTGGCAGGGCGCCCGCCTGATGCAGATTATGCTTGCGATGTGATTCGAGGACTCCCTGGAGGCTGCCCCAGAGCTCAATGTCATGGGCAGGGACGGGTACCAGGACGACACACAACTCTTCACTAAGGCGGGGGTGTTGGCGGACTGCTGGCCCAACGTCCATGCTGCTCTCGCGCGCTTTGCGATGACTTGGAAGACGCCAGTCTGCCAGCCGAGGCGGTGCGCTAGGCAGGATTTCTGCCGCGTGCCCGGGGGGCCTCCAGCTCCTTGGAAGGCCTGCCCGTGCGCAGTTCGAGACCGAGGCCATTGTCGACGACCAGCACGTGGCGGCCCTGGCCCGCCGCGTCGCCGAGTTTAAAGTCACCCAGCCCAGGATCGCTGCGATTCACCTCGCCTGGACTCTCCTGTCCAAGTTTGGCGCGCGCTTCCGTGCTCAGGCCCCTTCGTTTGGCGCGCGCCTGGTGCCATCCACGGCACCGGGCGCAGTGGCCGAGCCCGTGACCAGCAGTGTGAGAGAGGTGTTCCAGCACGACGCGGCGGCTCGCCGGTCGGACGAGCACGCGCTCGGCCAGTTGCGTCCTGCGGGCGCCCTCGGAGGGCGTGACCTCTGCCCCGAAGTCGAGCAGCGCGTCGCTGCCGCTGCGCTCTGGGCCAGCCCGGGTGTGCACGGAGCGCCGCGTCCCCCGCGGCTCGCTGGCGGCCTCGGCATGGCGTGAGCCCTGTTCTCGGGCGTGCTTGCAGCCCTCGAGGCCCAGTGGCGCTTGGAGCAGGTGGGCGGGCAGGGCGGCGTGAAGTCCACCCCTGGCATCTGCGGGGAGTGCTCCAGCGGTCCGTGGGTTCAGCATGTCGCAATCGACGAGCCAGGCGCGCTCAAGCTCATCCTGGAGGCGTCGTTGCCAGCTGCCGCGCCGGGCTGCCTTCCTTACAGGGCGCCCCGACGGTAGGCCAGCTGCGTGTTCAACTACCTGGATGCCCTGGAGGCCCGCCGGCTGTGGCGGGCACATGGGGCAGAGGGGCAGACAGAGATGTTGTCCGCTGGTGGCCCCAGCGTTTGCGCGATGTGGTCGCAGATGCCCGCGTCGCTGTGCGAGTACTTCCCGACGAGCTACTTTCGTTCGGCGACCAGGCGACGGCTGGGCGTCCTCTGTGCGCCGCCAGGCGCCACCTGCCAGGGTGTCGCGCAAGGCAGGCAACTGCGAGGACGTTTGCGGGCAGAGGCTTGACCCAATCCCCTGGCCCCGCGCGGATGAGGCTACACCGCGGTATGGCTGCCACGCTTGCCCGTCTTCTCCGGGAATGTCGTGCCGGGGTCGGCGTCGAGCGTACGGTGTCGGAACTGCTCCAGGCCACGGCGGCGGGCACGGCGGTCAGGGCCGTCAGGGATCTAGTGATCACGTTCCCGGGGTCCGTCCAGCCCGTCTACATTGCCGTGACCACTCGCTGCCCCTACGCGGCCAGCTACCGGAATGCGGCTACAGACTCGGGGGAGTCCTTAGCGGCGGCGGCCAGGGACAAGCAGGCGAGGCACCGCAGCCAGGTCCTCACCGCTACGCTCGAGTCCTATGGCCGGTTGGGAGCCGAGACACACCGCGCTCTGGAACATTTGGCGCCGCATGCTGCGTGCTAGCGCCTGCCTGCGCGGCCAGTAGGCCGCGCCGTGCCTGGTCCCCAAGTGGTGTGCGGTGGTGGAGCGCATCGTGCTGTTCTCGGCCGCGGACACCGACCTGCTGGCGATCGGCTGCTGCGCAACCGCCACGGAGCAGTGGGTTCTCCACTGCAGGGTGAGCGGCGCCATCTAGATCTTACTTGCTGGACTTTGAAGAGGAGGATGAGGAGGAGCAGGGAGGAGGAGGAGGAGGAGGAGAAGGAGGAGGAGGAGGAGGAGGAGGATGAGGAGGAGCAGGTAGGAGGAAGATGAGCAGGAGGAGGGAGGAGCAGGATGATAATGAGGAGACGAGAGGAGGTGGATCATAAGGAGGAGGCGTCCGCCTCTTTCGGCTCCCCCTCGAGGGCGTGAGGGCCGCCCTGACCGCCCTCTCTGCGGCGGAGGCGCCAGACATCTTCGTGTTCGGCGGCCACTCCCAGCGCGAGCGGGCGGTCGCAGGGAGCGGGGAGAGGAGGCGGGATCGGTCCTGCACGGGCTGTTCTTGGTCGGTAGGCTTCGCGAGATGGGTGACGGAGAGGGACGACGATGATGATGCTGCTGCTGCTGATGATGATGATGATGATGATGGTGATGCTGTTGACGATGCTGTTGATGATTCTGATGATGACGATGATGATGGTGATGATGATGATAACAATGATTAGTATAATGAGTATGCCCATGATTAGGATGACGATGCTGATTATGCTTAGGATGCCTATTACGATTCTGACGCTGGTGATGATCATGATGACGATGATGATGACGATGATAATGATGATGGTGATGATGATGGTGATGATGATGATGTTACTGAAAAAACGTATGATGAATATGATGATTCAGATGAAGTCAATGAGTATGGCGAGGATGATTATGACGATGATGATGTTGATGATATTGTTGCTGCTGCTGATGATGATAATGAGTATGTTGAGTATGATGATGATTCTGATGATGATGATGACGATGACTATGATAATGATGCCCATTATGATGATGATGATAATGGTGATCGTGACTGTGATGGCGATGATGATGATGATGATGATGATGATGATGATGGTGATGATGCTGATGACTGTGATGATACTGTAAGCAGGAGTTTTGATGATGCTGAGGATGATGGTGATGATACTGAGTATGATGATGATGCTCATGGAGATGGTGACAGTGCTGATACTGACACTGCTGTTGACGATGGTGATGATGATGATGATGATGATGATGATGCTGATGCTGATGCTGATGCTGATGCTGATGCTACTGCTGATGATTAGTATGATACTGACGATGATGATAAGCATAAGTATTACGATGCTGCTGCTGATGATGATGATGATGCTGCTGATGATGATGATGATGCCAACGATGATGAGTTTGATGCTGCTGCTGATGATGATGTTGATGATGATGATGATGATGATGATGATGGTGGTGATGGTGCTTAGGGGGTTGCGCTGGTGATGATGCTGATGATGATGGTGATGATGCTGATTATGCTAATGCTGCTGATGCTGCTGATGATGATGATGATGATCATGATGATGCTGATGCTGCTGCTGCTGATGCTGCTGCTGCTGACGATGATGATGCTGATGGTGGTGATCGTGATGTTGGTGGGTGCAGGTGGTTGTAGTGAGGAGGGACGGGAGGAGCAGAAGGACCGGACGAAGGAGGAGGAGGAAGAAGAGGAGGACGAAGAGGCGGAGGAGGAGACGGAGGAGACGGAGGAGGAGCAGGAGGAGGAGGAGGATGAGGAGGAAGCAATTAAAGGAGGATCGGAGGAGGAAGAGGAGGTGGAGAACCAGTGTAAACCTTCGACGCATCAACGATGTTGCAATATTGAGTTCCAGTTCCCTCTTCACAGGTCCCTGCAATATTGTGTTTTCATTGCGGAACATGTTCGCAAAACGTCACATTGAAAGACCACCGGGGAATTCTCAAGCGTGCCAGCACACCATTTTTTGGGACTTCAGCGCTGCGAATCAACGTGATTGTTGCGTCATGGCACCGCGAATCAACGTGACTGTTGTGTCCTGGCAATCCTAAATCGTGCCAGCAAGCGCCACGAATCAACGTGATTGTTGCGTCCTGGCACCGCGAATTGGTGTGATTGGTTTGTCCTGACAATCCTGGGCCGTGCCACCACAGCATTCGTGGGACTCCAACCTCACGGACATTTGAACCTGCTGTGCGCTTGTAAGACGAATTTGTGCGGCGCGGAGGCGAGAACCACACTCTGAAAACGAGCCGCCCTCCATCCTTGAATCACTCACAATATTAAGACGCATGTGCGCGGCGCTCACGCAAGAGTCACATTCTGAAAACGAACCGCCCTGCGCCCTGGAAGTTGCTGCACATGTTCCAGACGAGTGCACGAATGAAGCTGTTGCAGACTTGAAGCCTCAGGATCATGAGCTGTGAGAACGTCTCCAATCGAAACGCCAGGCCCGCCCTCCCGACACGTCTGGGTGTACGACAGGAAGGAGTTATATATTTATATATATATATATATGGAAAAGAGGCGGAGTAGGAGGAGGAGGAGGAGTAGGTGGAGCGGTTCCTTTTCAAACTGTGACTCATGCCATCTACGATATCCAGTGACCACCACCAGGGCACTCAGCGGCACCTCGGGCACGAACTGGAGCCAGTTGTTTTGCAATAGTCTTTCTTGATGTGCATACAGGGGAAAGCCTTCAGAAGCAAGTATCCGATATCCAGGTGGCGCGCTATCTTCCTCCCATTCTATTGTCTTTCGTCGTCTAGGGATGGCACTGGCAAGCACGCGGTACGGATCAGGATCTGCTGGTCGCTGATTTGGTGCTGAGGGGCGCGACCGCACACCCTCCATGCCGTGGTTTACAGCATCCATAAGCAGTGTCAGCACGTGCACAACGCCCACTGACACGGTCGAGGCCCCACGCGGTCACGGTGTCGGTGAGTTTGGAGGTACCTCGGACCATCTCTCTAGCATGAAGTCGGGCCCGTCCCTCTACAGGAGAAGTATTCAACAGTAGTCCAAACATCGCCTGGGGGCTATCTGTTGGGCATTTTTCTTGGCCATTTGGGGATATTTTTGGAGCATTGTTTTATTGTTCGTCGAAAAAACTCCTGCCCTTGCCCGAGACTGTGAGGACGTTGGTGATGTCCACTGGCGAAGTCCCAAAGACTGCCGTGAGCCTGCAAGCCGAGCCGTGGCGGCCCCAGCTGCATGGGCTGCTCGTGGGTCGCCACGGTGGCGAGCTGGCTTTGAATTGTGGCCTTGAGCGCATCGAAGAAGGCCTCGTCCAGCGCCCGTGTGGCCTCGGAGGAGGAGGAGGAGGAGGAGGAAGAGGAGGAGGAGGAGGAGGAGGAGGAGGAGGAGGGGGGAGGAGGAGGAGCAGAACGGGGCGCCCTGGCCACAGCATGCCTCTCTCTCGGGTTCCACGGGGCCTATCCCCACGGGGGGGGGGGGGGGGGGGGGGGCCGAGCGCCGAGGCCCCTCCCGAAGCGTTGTCGGAGTTAGCCTTGCGGCGCCTGCGAACGGCCCGCCTCCCTCCTCCCTCCTCTCCTCCTCCCTCCTCCCTCCTCCCTCCTCCTCCCTCCTCCCTCCTCCCTCCTCCCTCCTCCCTCCTCCCTCCTCCTGGACATTGGTCGGTGAAGTGTTGAGGGCGACGGTGGCCTTCGTCTCGTGGATGGTGACACGAGTTGAGTCCAGGTGACGTTGCGGGACGGGTCGATCGTGACCTCCGCGGTGTTCTGGTGGCCGTCGGCATCCGTGTTGCCGAACCGGGGAGACCGCCCCGTCCACGTGCGCAGCCTGGGCCTCGACGGCCGCAGCGTTGCGGCGCAGCGCGCGGGGGTGACCACCTCGGTCTACGGGTAGAGAGTGTTCTTGGGTGCCAGGACGGGGATGGCCAGTGGTTGATCTTGCAGGTGGAGCTGGGTGGGCAGCCGGTCTCCCCCCTCGTCGCCATGAAGAGGTGCTGCTGTCGAGAGCGCCCCTGCTGGGGGCATCCCTCGGTGGAGCCACGACGGGGGCGGTCCAGTGTGCGGCGTCGAGGCTCATGAGTGGCTTGTCGGACTCCTCGTCGGAGCTGAAGTGGCGGCTTGAACGCCATGGCTCATCCGCGCGGCGTTGTCTTGGGTCTCAGCCAGTGTCCAGCTGATCTTGCGCTGGCCACAAAGACGCCGGAGCGCCTTTCGCAGCTCAGTGGGCTGGCGGCCGTGCTAATTGTAGATGCCGTTGTGAAAAAATTGCAGCGCCAGGATCTCAAGGAACGCATCCAGCCTGACGCGCGAGCATGGGCTTGCCGGAGGGGCGCGGGAACGCGCCGGTCCTTCTTGGGTGCGGAGGGCGCCGGGCGAGGGCGGCTGCTGGCCTTTCCGCGGGCGAGGGCGTGCGGTCGGAGAGGAGAGGGGAAGTGAAGGGCGGCTCGTCGGTGGCTGACGGAGTGGCGTCCAGTCTCGCCAGGCCTGAGGGCGGGGTTGCCAGGCGCAGTGCCGCGAGGGACACTTGAGCGGAGACTCGGGAGAAAGAGGGTTGCCCACGACCATAACCTTCGCCTTCATCACCACAGCAACGACGTTCGTCACGACCACCACCACGACGACCACGACCTTCTTGACCACCGCCGCGACAACTACTCCCACGGCATCCGCCCCCGCCTCCGTTCCCCTCTTTCCTGCCCCCTCTGCCTGGCCGCCCCTGCCTCCTCCGTGAAGTCGCCCTTGCCTCCTGGAGGTCGCCTTGCCGAGCTGGCGAGAGGACTCTTCCACCTCATCCCCCTGCTGCTGCCTGCTGGCCCGCTTTTGTCTTCTCCTTCACAAGAAACAGAGAGATCTATGACGAGAGATAAAGAGAGAGAGAGAGAGAGAGAGACAGAGAGAGAGAGAGACAGAGAGAGAGGGAGAAAGACATATATATAGAGAGAGAGAGAGAGAGAGAGACGAAGAGAGAGACGAAGAGAGAGAAAGAGAGAGAGAGAGAGAGACAGGGAGGGGGAAGATGCTCCCAAGGTTTTCGAGTGTGGGACCGACTTCGACCTCGACACGGTGCACCGCTTCGACGCCTCGACGTCCAGCTGGACGGTCGTGAGCCGCATGCAGACGGCGCGCTCCTCAAGCTGCCCCCCCGAGTGGGCACGCCGCGCCCAGGCGGGTCGTCTGAGAGTCCGGTGGCTGCTCGTATTTTGATTGGCGACTGTGCCCCGTGCGGCGGCCGCCAGAATCGCGCCAGTTCTTCAGGAAGGCGTGTGTGTGTGTGTGTGTGTGCGTGTGTGTGTGTGTGTGTGTGTGTGTGTGTACGTGCGTGCGTGCGTGCGTGCGTGCGTGCGTGCGTGTGCGTGTGCGTGTGCGTGTGCGTGTGCGTGTGCGTGTGCGTGTGTGCGTGTGTGCGTGTGTGCGTGCGTGTGTGCGTGTGTGCGTGTGTGCGTGTGTGTGCGTGTGTGTGTGTGTGTGTCTGTGTGTGTGTGTGTGTGTGCGTGCGTGCGTGTGTGTATGTGTGTGTGTGTGTGTGAGAATGTTTCAGCCTATGCTGCATTCGGGCTTCCACAGCGTCTTCGACGACCCGAGCGGACCCCCGAACCGCCCCAAGACGGCCCAAGAGGCCCCCGAGAGAGTCCCAAGACGGCCCCAGAGAGCCCCACGACGGCCCAAGAGGCGCCCAAGACGGCCACAAAGAGGCACCAGTGAAGATTCAATATTTCCAAAGGGAGCCCCTCAGACCGCCAGCGGACCCCAAGAGGGCCTCCAGAGGCCCCCAAATGCCCCCAAACAGCGCGTACAGAGGCCCCAAGAGGCGCCAAGACAGGCCCGAACAGGGCCCACAGATGTTTCAAAATTGCTTCCGAGGGAACCATCGAGGTTTCCCAAAATACCCCTCACATCTTCTTAACTTGGCCAGGCCTCTGATTCACTTGGCTGCAGTCGTCCTTCGAGCTAAATGCTCCTGCCACGCGGCGACGCCAGCTGCTTCTGCGACTCAGCCTGCCGTGCTCCCTCCTTCTCGTATCTTTCCTGTCTCCCCCTGCGCCTCATGCTCCGCAGCCAAGTTCTTCTCCTCCGCTCGGTCCTCCTCGCCGTCCTCGCCCTCTTCAACCTCACAAAGCATTCTGAGCCCCAAGACTTTCCCGCGTAAAAAACAAGGTGCGGGCCCCAGGAGGAGCACTTCAATGAAGACGCACAATGATTGCCTGCCGGGGGTGATGAACAGTTCTTATTTTCAAAACATGAGAGTTCAACGCGACTGCAACAACGCAACAGCAACTCGCACGGCGGAACCCCACTGCAGCCACGCGCCCAGGGACGGCGAATGACCGTTCGGCTCATTAGCCGAAATTTCGGCCCAGCTCGTTGATACTTAGAAGAAATTTCGGCTGAGCCCATTTACATTTAAATGCTGGAGTCGACGCTTCGGGGGAATCCGCCGTTGTCGGCACGATTTGAGGGCCTGCGGTGGGCCCAAACCCTCCCGTTCCCCGCTCTCGCTTCTGCGAACAGCGCCGACGTCGAGAATTGTAGGGCCTCGCCTACATACATATATACATATATACACATGTATCCACATTCTGTACACATACATACCCACAGCACACAGCGCCCGGAACACACACGTGCGTTCACAACATACGACACACACAACACACACCGCACACATACAACGTACGCAACACGAACACACAACGCACACAACACACATCACACATCACACATACACCACGCACAACACACAACACAGACACGCAGCCTGCAACACATACAACACACCCCAATAAAACAACTCACTGATACCACACAACGCGCGGTACACCCACCACACACACACGCGCACTCGTCACACAACACGGCATGCACATGTTGCATTTTGTTGTGTATGCGCCTGTGCACGCACGCGCCACTTTCACACATATGCATACACACGCATGATCTGTGTACGTTCTGTATATAACCATGTATGGGTATGATTGTTGGACATATAAACGCATACATCTGAGTGTGTGTGTATGTATATATATTTATATATTTACGTATGCATGTGTCAGTGTAGGCTCGTGGGTATACGCACATATATACACACATAAAATGAGACCTGACTGGTTGTCCTCTATTACCGCCTCCGTGGCCCGCTTGCGAGCCCCAGGGCCATCAAGCACGTGTCCGGGGTGGAAAATTGACACCGGGGAAATAGTCGGGACATTCCTTGGCCCCGCGTAGAAGAGGTCAAATATGCGGATGCCTGGGAGCGCGAGGGTGGTCGGATGCTTGGAAGAGGTCATATCGCCGGATGTTTGGGAGCAGGCCCCTGGTACCGTGGACCTCACGTGGTGCGCACCCACAACGCTTGTGGGACGAGGACAACCTAAGCGCTCGCGTTGCGCCCGCGTGGTTTTAATGTGCGTGTGTATATGTATGCATACATATGTATAATCCGATGCATAGGTCTAAAGATACATACGTAGATACTTCCAGTTGTTTCTCTTCGCCTCTTTGTCTCTCTCGCTTTGCCTCCCCCTCCTTTTTCCGCTCTTGACGCTCCCTGTGCCTCCGACTCACTTCTGCTTCCTTTGTGAATTTGTGTATGTAGACACATGCCCACATGTAAATCTTTCCGCTTCTGCGCTGCACTGTCTGCGCGCTCCCTACACTCCGCCCTTTCTACGCTCTCCGCATCTCTACACCCCTCACACGATGCTCTCTCAATTTGTTCCTCCCCCACCCGTTCTTTGCGTACTCTCCACAGTGTACGCGAATCGGGACCGTGGGAGCCTGGAACCGGGCACTTCGGTACCTGGCTGCCTACCGATTTCGGCGGGGAACCTGCACCAACGTTGTTACAATATCCATGGAGAACGATGCAGCACCAGCGTTGTTTGTGGAACAAAACAGAAGCATCACATATTAGGTTTTTACGTGGATTTCTGGTCTGGGACTTCATGAGATTCCGGAGAAGAGGCGGGGGAGGAGAAGGAGGAGGAGCAAGAGGACGAGGAGGAGGAAGAGCAGGACTATTACTTTTAAGATTAAGCATTTTACGAAACATAATTTTCGTAATACGGAGACGAATCAGAAGCAAACTAGGAATAACACGAATACCAGTAATCAGACATTGTAAGAGTAATACTTGTAACGGAAAATCTGTGGTCATAACTAATAATAGGAAGACGCACAACGATAATAAACATACTACTACGAATGCGACTACTAAGAATACAAAGAAGAAGGGGTACTAAGTATTCGCTGCGTGGAGCTCCCCACATGCGCATCTATTAGCATGGACCTGTCCGCCGTGAATGTCTAGGCGCAAGAGTCTTCGAATACAAACGGGCTTAAGTATTGACGGTCTGAGAGCGAATCTAACTGTGAATGGTTGAATGAGTCTCAGTAGTACTGGTGCGCCTCTGCGCGTGAGCCTGGGGCCTCCTGGGGCCTCTTGAACCTCCTGGGGCACCTGGAGCTTCTTGGGGCCTCCTGGGGTCTCTTGGGGCTTCCTGTGGCCTCCTGAGGCCTCCTGGAGCCTCGTGCGGCTTCCTGGGGCCTCCAGGAGTCTCCTGGAGCCTCCTGGGGCCTCCTGTGGAGGGTTCGTGCCCCATGAGAGGCCCAATATATATATATATATATATATATTATATATATATATATATATATATATATTATATATATAGGAATAGATGTAAACTACTTCGGGTTGGAGCCACAGGAGAAGGGCAATCTACAGGAACGCACGTAAAGCATCAATGACTCGTGCCCCAGGGCAGGCCCAATCTATAGGAACATACGTAAAAGATTTAGGAATGTATGCACAGGAGAATGACAATTTATAGGAACATCCTGTGGCCTTCTGAGGCCTCCTGCTTCTGGGGCTTCGTGGGGGCTCCTGGAGCCTTCCGGGGCCTTCTGTTGCCTCCTGTCGCTTCCTGTCGCTTCCTGTGGTCTCCTGTGGCCTCCTGTGGCCTCCTGGTGCCTCCTGGTGCTTCCTGGGGCCTCCTGGAGCCTCCTGGGGCCTCCTGGTGCCTCCTGTGGCCTCCTGGGGCCTCCTGTGGTTTCCTATGGCCTCCTGATGCCTCCTGGGACCTCCTGTGGCCCCCTGGGTCCTCCTGGAGCCTGCTCGAGCCTCCTGTGGCATCCTGAGGAGGATCCGTGCCCACGAGTCTGGCCAGCAAAACAGGCAAACCGTTCGAGACATTCTCGCAATCTTGCCCCCCTGGGGTGCGAAAACCAGCGCCTCGCACGAGACATCCTTCAAATCTGATCCGAACGCGGAGGAGCTGGTAAACGCAATTTTGGCGCGAACGGAGGAGTGAGATATCCCCTGGCGGCTCCCCCTTGGGGGCGAAAGTGAGCGTCTCGCTCGGAACATCCTCAGAATCTGCTCCGAAAGCGGAGGATGTTGGGCACCCAAACAGGCACCCCGCTCGAGACATCCCCGCCATTCTGGCGCGAACGGAGGAGTGAGATACCCCCTGGCGGCTTCCCCTTGGGAATGCTGAAACCCGCGCCTCGCTCGAGACATCCTCAGAACTTGCTCTGCCTTCATCATCAGATGCCCCCGGCGGCGCAGACGCATAGGCGGCAAGGGGAGCAGCATCTGCTGAGGGGGTCAGCTCGATCCCAGTCCAGCCCCCTCCAGGCTCCTTTGCCGTGCTGGCGGCAGCAGGTGGAGGATACCCAACAGCCACCAGCACGGGGCAGGCAGCATCGGCTTCGACGGCGGCACCCACAGCCAGCGGCAGCACTGGCAGCGATGGCGCGGTCGGCACCTGCACGGAGCAGCCTTTCATGGACCGCGCAGCAGCACGCTGGGACAGGGCTGTGGAGCTGTACGAGGAGAGCTGGTCAGGCGCGCAGCCTGTGAGGAGCGAGTACCATCGCAGCATGGCCGCCCTTGAATCCAGCTCCCCTGACGCGTGGGCTATCGCGGACGTCGAGCACTACAGCTACATACAGGCCGTCAAGCATTTCATGCGCTACCACGGCGACCTCCCGTCGGATTCCAGCGACGACGGGGACGACGGCAGCTACGGCGGCGGCAGCGCAGACGGCCGAGAGGCACGCGCAGGCGCATCAGCACCGAGGCCCCCGACCATGGAGGGCCTCCCGCTGGGGGCGCAGTG